TGAGCCCTCCCCCCCGTGCAGCCTTCAGATGGTACCAAGGCCCCATCCTGCACAGATTCACATGCATGTAACAGAACATAATGCTTCAGGGGAGGGCAGGCAGAAGCACCCACCCCAGCACAGGGCAGGCAGATGGGCCCACCCCAGCACAGGGCAGGCAGGATCATCCACCCCAGCACAGGGCAGGCAGATGGGCCCACCCCAGCACAGGGCAGGCAGGATCATCCACCCCAGCACAGGGCAGGCAGATGTGCCCACCCCAGCACAGGGCAGGCAGGATCATCCACCCCAGCACAGGGCAGGCAGATGGGCCCACCCCAGCACAGGGCAGGCAGGATCATCCACCCCAGCACAGGGCAGGCAGATGGGCCCACCCCAGCACAGGGCAGGCAGGATCATCCACCCCCACCAGTGTGGAGATTCCTGGGCACAAGGAGACGACACAAGTTCAGAGCAGTATGTACCACGCAATACCAGCTCTGCAAAGCAAGTTTACAGAACCATGTACTGTGGTTTCTCTTGTTGCAGGGACATATCTCAAGACTCCGAGCGGGTGCCTGAGACTGCAGGTTCTGGCACCAAACCCCGTATGTACTGTCCTTCCTCACCACGAGTACCTATTTATACATTAACCACAGTAAGGGCTCAATAAACCTTTAGTGACATAGAACAGTTACTAAGTCAAAGAAGGGTCCCTTAAAGACACAGCAGGTTGGTGACTAACGGGTGGGTAACATACATGGTGTGGACACACTGGGCAAGAATGAGTTATGGCTGCGTGGGATGGAGCAGGATGGTGTCAGATGCCACCACACTCAGAACAGTGACCAACTTAAAACCTATGCGTAAGTAGAGAGATCTGGTCCCAGAGGAGGGGAAAAAAACCTCATGAATTATTTATTTCTGGAATTTTCCTTAAAGTATTTTCAGACTACAGTTGACCATGGGAAAGAGGTACCCATGTAGAGGACCACAGAATTCGCACGTAGTGACAACTGTGTCTGAAGTCTGAAGAACCAGTTACTGCTGAGGGGGTGGATGGCCTGAGCACAGGTCTGTTCATAAGGATGAAGTGTTTAGACTTTTTTTTTTTTGAGGGGCTCCCTATAGCCCTAGCTAGCCTTTAACTCACTATGTAGGCCAGACTGGCCTCAATCTCACAGAGATCCACCTGCCTTTGTCTCCCAGGCGCTGGGATTAAAGGTATATGCCACAATGCCCAAGTGCTATTTTCTAATCTTTTTTGAAAATGTGTATGAAGCCAGGCGTGGTGGCGCATGCCTTTTATCCCAGCACTCAGGAGGCAGAGGCAGGCGGATCTTAGAGTATGAGGCCAGCCTGGTTTACATAGTGAGTTCCAGGCCAGCTGGAGCTACAGGGAGACCCTGTCTCAAAAAGACCCCCCAAAATGTGTATGAACGTATTGCCTGTATGTGTGTTAAGTGTACCCATGTCATGCAGTGCCTTGGAGGTCAGAAGAGGGCGTCAGATCCTCTAGAACTAGAGTTAAGGATGGTTGTTAGCTATCACGTGGGTGCTGGGAATTGAACTCGGGTCCTCTGCAAGAGCAGTCAGTGCTCTTAACTGCTGAGCCATCTCTCCAGGCCCTATTTTCTAATCTTAATGGGAAACAGAAGGGGTTGGAAACTTCCTGGGCAGGTCTCTTCCTGTTCACACATGGGGTTCACAGACCCATCTTCCCCGTCCCGTCCCAAAAGCAGTGCTATAAAATAAGGGGCACTTTGGGAAAACTCCTGCGCCGCTCTGATCTCCAATAGGGACTTTGGCAGGGCCTCCCTCAGGGCCCTGGGGTGTGAGAGGCTCTGGGCTGACCCTGTACCCAAGCTCCCATCTTCCCATCCTTCAGAATTGCTCTCCCCTGGCCCTGCTGCAGCCGTCGCCACAGAGCTGCCCAGGAAGGAAGGCCTGGTTCATCTGACAGGGTGACCGCAGGTCTCTCCCTCTATTCGGCAGACAAGCCCTGACCAACAGGCCAAGCACAGAGCAACACGGTCCCATGGCTCCCTGTAGTGCTCAGCAGCGACAGTGACCACATTCTGGGCCAGACACTGCAGGGGCCACACAGTTGCTTGTGGCTCACACTGGCCACGTGGCTCTGTCAGTCACCTGACTCTACTTTGGCCCCACAGTCTAAGCCCTCTGGGAAGACACAGGGAGACACAGCTCCAGACCTGCAGGTTGGGATGGTGGCTTGTCCTCTAGGTGACCAGGGACACTGCGCCATCTCCCCATCTCCAGTGTGAGACTCCAGGTGCCAGGAGTCAGGATTCCGCCTGTAAGATCCAGCACCTGCCTCTTATGTGACTGGCTCAGTAGGGCTGGCCTGACACCAGTGATGATGACGATGCTGACCACAGACCAGGACCCACACGGTGGGCAACACTGTCCCCCTGTGGGAACCCTTGCTCAGAGAGGGTAAGCAACCTGCCCCAGCGATCAGCAGCCACGCTGATGGTTATAGTTTCCTGTTGCCTTTGAGGCCAGAGTTGGAGAAGCTGGCTCCTGGTGGCCAGTGAGATTCTGATGCCTTCTGTTGCCCGTCTCTCTTGTCAGTCATACCCAGGACAGACACTGTAACTCAGCACACGCCAGTGACCTAAGACTAACCAGGCTAGGGCTAAGGGTATGCCAGTCCCGTGCATGTTGCTCACAATGGGTATCACACTATATGAATAAGAAGGTGACCAGGGTGGGGGATGACTTCCATCAGCCAGTCCCTTTCTCAAAAAGGTTCCAAAACCCCAGTCGTGCAAATGCGGAACAAGGACCCATCTCATTCCATGGCACCTGCCACACGGTGACAGGACTAGGTGCCCTCTGTCCCTTGTCTATGCAGAGGATGAACCTGGGGTCAGGCAGCCAGTGGGGTAAGGGCACAGTGGTGGGCTTCAGGGATTCAACAGACTGGGTAGGAGACCATTGGGGCATTGGGGGGGATCTTCTGGTTTGCTCTCATCTGCACACAGACACACACACACCAGCCCTGCCCCATCCTTTCATCCACTAGGGAAAACAAAACAGAAGCATCCCGGAGACAGGTGCACTGGCCAGTCAAGGCCCCAAGGGAGCAGCACAGGCTTCCTGAGCTGACCCCGGCTTTGTTGAGTCCCTTTGTCCTCTTTGCCCTGTCTCTGGGCTTTCCCGAGGTGTGGAGGCTGCTTGTGTGCCAACCTTGCCCAGCCCTGCACCCTCGCCCTTTAGGGAACTCAGGGCCGGGGCTGTATGTCGCCTCTGCCATAGATGAGGAAACAGGCTCAGAGTCTCCCCTCATGTGCCGCCTGCTCCACAGAGACCGGCTTTCCTCCACATCCCATGGAGTCTGTCTAGAAACTACCTTGGGTCCCATGTTCTTGTTCCTAATACCTGGGATCTGGTGACAGGGTGCATATGATGTCAGGTCTGTGGCAGGTCCCCCATAGGGCTCATGTCTCTAGTTTCCAAACCCTCAGCCAAAAACTTATCTGGGACCTGACGGGGTTGTCACAAGCACCCCAGCCCAGGTTGCCCGTCATCTACCAGGGACAGCAAAGTGAAGCAACTTCCTAGAAGTTAGTCCACTGGATGCCTGGGGGTCTGCATGGACGTCGGCCCACAGCCCATGCCAGTCTTCTGGCTGCAGCTTCCCAGATTTCCTTGAAGCAAGCAGTGTAGGAGAACTTAACAGGCCACACCCACCGCTCCAGTCACTACCCAGTGATGTTTCTGGGGGTGGGAAGGGTTAAAACAGGGCAGCTTCAGACCTCAGTACTGAGTAGACATTATGCCCTTTCTCTGGGCCTTTGAAAAGACATCTTGTTTCCTCCAGACGTCACGGGTGACAGGTATCCCACCAAAAGGCCCAGTTGACATCTGTGCTCTGCGCTGTGATCAAAGGTTGTGGAGAACCAAGCACGTGGACAAACCTTCAATCACAACAAGGTCCGAGGGCTGAGGTCCGTGACCTGGAGCTGACCTGGAAACTCAGCCAGCCCGCATCTGGCATCCTCCAGATGGCAACAAATATCCTCCCAAGTCCACTGGCACTGGAGCCCGAGGCCTATGCAGGAGCTTCCCAGCCCAGGACTCCCAGGGAGGGGTGGCAGAGGACTCAGGCCTCCAATGCCCCCTGACACCCTGGCAAAGTCGTCCAATAACTGAGCCACAGAGCCTAGAGGCACAGGCCTAGGGATTCCTACAGGGCACATCCTCCAGCCTGGGCACATGGCTCCCATCTGCAGCCTCTTGACTCCTGTGGTCTGCTGACTCCCACAGCCTCTCTGGGACCAGCCCAAACTCCCTGGCTTGCCTCTGTGATGTCTACAGAGTCCACACCTGAGTCCCTTATCCAGCCCGGAGAGTCCCAGACAGCACTGATACCTAGAGATGCCCAGAAATCCACCCAACACTCACCCACAGCCACCTCCGCACCTGTTCCTTAGGGCCTGGTGTCCCCTCTGAAGCAGCTGCGGGCCAAAGTGTCAAGTCACACGTGAGCCCCTCACAGGGGCCCATAGCTGTTCCATCCCCTGAAACAGAGTCTCCTGGGGCCTACGCGGAACCTCAGCCACAGGACTGGGCCAGCGAGGTCTTTTCCAGCCCACTGCCCAGTCCCATACTGAGGGTGCTAACCAGCCGGTGTCCCACACATCATGCCAATGGACTGGCAGCATTCTCTACCGATCAGCGCTTACAGGAATAAAACACATTTAGATGCACATAACAGACCAGGTACTCACTCCCTGGTCTGTGACCTCTCGGCTCCCTCCTGCCCTGTTTGAGTGGAGGCAACAGATGCCCAAACCCCCTTAGATCATTTCTTTGGATGAGCTCTACCCATGGCCACCTTCTGAGGACCTCTGAGGAACCCCAAGGCTCCATGGGAACCGCCGGGGAAACACCCACACACACCTCCAACTGGGCGGCGCACGGTCAGCCAGCGCAGGCCGCCGACACCCCGGGTGACCGAGGCAGCCAGGGCCCTGCCCAGCCCAAGCGCCTACCTGGACGCGGCGATCTCGGCCTTCTGCTTGGCGATGGTGGCCGCCCGCTCGGCCGCCTCCACCGCGCGGTCCACCTTCTCCCGGATCTTGCTGGCCCGCAGCGGGATGAGGTTCTTGCGCTTGCCGTGTCTACAGAGTCCACACCTGGGTCCCTTATCCAGCCCGGAGAGTCCCAGGCAGCACTGATACCTAGAGATGCCCAGAAATCCACCCAACACTCACCCGCAGCCACCTCCACACCTGTTCCTTAGGGCCTGGTGTCCCCTCTGAAGCAGCTGCCGGCCAAAGCGTCAAGTCACACGTGAGCCCCTCACGAGGGCCCATAGCTGTTCCATCCCCTGAAACAGAGTCTCCTGGGGCCTATGCGGAACCTCAGCCACAGGACTGGGCCAGCAGGTCTTTTCCAGCCCACTGCCCAGTCCCATACTGAGGGTGCTAACCAGCCGGTGTCCCACACATCATGCCAATGGACCGGCAGCATTCTCTACCGATCAGCGCTTACAGGAATAAAACACATTTAGATGCACATAACAGACCAGGTACTCACTCCCTGGTCTGTGACCTCTCGGCTCCCTCCTGCCCTGTTTGAGTGGAGGCAACAGATGCCCAAACCCCCTTAGATCATTTCTTTGGATGAGCTCTACCCATGGCCACCTTCTGAGGACCTCTGAGGAACCCCAAGGCTCCATGGGAACCGCCGGGGAAACACCCACACACACCTCCAACTGGGCGGCGCACGGTCAGCCAGCGCAGGCCGCCGACACCCCGGGTGACCGAGGCAGCCAGGGCCCTGCCCAGCCCAAGCGCCTACCTGGACGCGGCGATCTCGGCCTTCTGCTTGGCGATGGTGGCCGCCCGCTCGGCCGCCTCCACCGCGCGGTCCACCTTCTCCCGGATCTTGCTGGCCCGCAGCGGGATGAGGTTCTTGCGCTTGCCGCCCACCAGCACGTTCTGCTTGTACTTGCCCTCCTCCTTGGTGCCGTCGGGGAAGGTCATGCACCCGTAGCCGTGCCGCCGGTTGCTCACCCACTCGCCCTCGTACTTGAGCCCGTCGGAGCGCTGGCTCACGCCGAAGCCCGAGCGCTTGTCGGTCTTCCACTCGCCCACGTAGGTCTCGGTGGTGGTGGCGTCGATGTCGTCCTCGATGACGGCCAGCTCGGCCTCCGCCTCGCCCAGGCTGATGGTGGAGTGGATGTCGCTGGCCGTGGAGCTCACGGTGCTCATGCCCGCCTCGCTGCGGAACGAGCTCTGCTTGCTGCGCTGGCTGGCCAGGCTGCTCTTGGACTCCGACTTGCGCAGCTTCAGGCCGCTGAGCAGCGAGCGCCGGAACAGGCCCTTCTTCTTGCCCTTCAGGACCTCGGAGTCGCTGTGCGCCACCAGCACGAAGCCGCCGCGGGACACGGCCGGGCTGCCGGCCACCGCCGGGGACGCGTCGGGGTGCAGCGCCGCGCCGTTGGTGTGCTCGCTGCGCAACGAGTTGATGGACGTCCTCAGGGGCGAGCGGATGACGGCGGCCATGCCGTACGGGACGCTCTGCCGCACGCCGTAGCCCTGGCGCATGCCGCCGGCCCACTGGCCCTGGTAGGTCCCTGCGGAGGCAAAGGGGAGACGGTGAACGCGCGGGGGCGGTGGGGGGCGCGGGCCGCACGGCGCACCCGTGGGTCCGCCCGACCTCCCAGGACAGAGGTGAGGCCCGGCCGGGTGTCCCTGGGGCGGAAGGGGACGACCTCACTCATGGCCATTTTTGCGGCTGGAGTCGGAGACTAGGGAGGTCTGCACACAGTGCAGAGGAGGAGAGTTCAAAGACCCAGGGAGCCCCTCCAGAGGGAGGCCAGGGAGGGGGCAAGCGCGGCCTGTGGAATGATCTAGACACAGGTTGGTCCTTAAGGACAGCTTTGCCTCCGGGGAAGTGAGGTCCCCGTGCCGAAAGCATTCCAGGTCTGGCAGCCTTCTCAGTGGAGACGCCCCAGAAGAGCTTGACGTCCATGGGGAAGGGCACTGAGATTAGCAGACCACACGACAGGAGGTGGAGTCAGGAGCACAAACGGACGTGTAGTCTTGTCATCACTGCACTTGGGGACCACAGGAGCCCCACCCAAGTCAACAATGGCCACCAACACCATGGACCATTAGTCAGCCATGAAAAGGAAGCTGCACCTCCTCCAGGGTGCACCCCTGACATCACAGAAGTGAAAACAGACCTTCACAGTTAGTCAACAATGGCCACCAACACCACGGACCATTAGTCAGCCATGAAAAGGAAGCCCTCCAGGGTGCACCCCTGACATCACAGAAGTGAAAACAGACCTTCACAGTTCCACTTCCTGGGCTTGGAGGAGTCAGAGCAGAGACAGGGAGGAAGGGGATGCAGCCAGGGGCCGGGACAGGAGTGCAGGGTGCACACTACTCAGTGGGGACCATGTTTCCATTAGGGACCATGGAAAAGCTCCAGTGTAGATAGCAACCATGTCGCTACCCATTTAATGCCATCAAACATCACACTGAAAAGTAGCTAAAGAGTGGGTGTGGTGGCACAGCCCCACAGCCCCAGCACTCAGGAGGCTGAGACAGGAGGGTCGCTTGACCCCAGGAATTCAAGGTCAGCCTGGGCAACACTGCAAAACTCCTTCACAAAGTAAGAAGTGGATAAAATTGTAACTTAAAAAATATTCATAGGGCTGGAGAGATGGCTCAGCAGTTAAGAGCACTGGCTGCTCTTGCAGAGGGCCCGGGTTCAATTCCCAGCTCCCACATGGTGGTTAACAACTGTCTGTAACTCCACTTCCCAGAGATCCGACAGCCTCTTCTGACCTCCACAGGCATTGCATGACATGGTGCACTTACACACATGCAGGCAATATACTCACACACATAAAAAAATAAAAATAATAAAGAAATTCATGTGGGTACTTGTGTGTGTGCACGTGTGTGGAGGCCAGAGGTCCACGTTGTGTCCTCTGCATTGCTGTTTTCCACCTTAATTTCTAAGTTTTTTTTTCAAGTTTTATCACGTGTATGTGTAGGTAGGGGTTGTACAGGGGAGTGCAGGTGTCCACAGAGACCAGAGGCATCAGATCCCCTGGCGCTGGAGTTACAGGCAGCTGTAAGTTACCTGACGTGGTCCTAGGAGCTGAACCCAGGTCCCCTCCAAGAACAGTATGCACTCTTAACCACTGAGCCATCTCTCCGGGCCCTCCATATTTTTGTTTGTTTTTGTAATTTTGAAACAGGGTCTCCCTCTAGCCCCAGTTGGCCTGGAACTCACTACATAGACATAGCTGGCCTGGATCTCACCGAGATCCTCCTGCCTCTGCCTCCCAAATGTTGAGATTAAAGGTGTGCACCACCATACTGGGCTTCCACCTTAGTTTTTGAGACATGGTCTCTCGCTGAACCAGAAGCTCAACAGTTCGGCTGGACTGACCAGCCAGCGGACTCCAGGGGATCCGCTTTGCTCGGCCTCCTCAGTGCTGGGATCACAGGCATGCGCTGGCACACCTGGCTTTCTCCATGGGTGCTGGGGCTAGAACTCGGGTTTTCATGCCTGTGTGACAAGCACCCTACCCCAGGGCCATCTCCCAGTCCCCAGGTATCACAAAGGCACAATAATGTAACAAGGGAAACAATCAGACCCAGGCTCTCATCTGGATCCTTATTACTGTGTGACTTTAGGCAAGTTTCTGGAGCTCTCTGATCCTCAGTCTCCCTATCTACAGACCAGACAAAGAAGTCCTCACAGCATGGGCCACTGTGAAGGCCAATGTGACACATAGGTGACCCGGACCAGGGATCCCAGCAGAAGGGTTCACCTCCTGGGGGAGAGCTCTCTCAACCTTCTGCAGAAGCCCCACCCCCCACCCCCAGGTCGATACCCACAGACATCAGACTGTCAAAGATTTCAGTACAAGGTCGGGCTCTTGTGTGTCCTAAAGAGACACAGCAGCCCAGGACCCTCCTTTGAGCTCTGAAATGGCCCAGAGTCTACAGCAGCTGCCTCTGGCCACATACTCTGCTGTACCCCCTACACTCTGACACCCAGGCCTCCTCCTTCACTTACCTCAGAGATAAATGCAAACCAGTGTGGGGTGCAAGCCAGGCAGTGTCATGGGGGGTCCCCACCCCATCACCACTCCCAGCTGCCTTCACCCACAACCTCCAAATCGGGTGGGTCCTGGCCCTCTGGGCTTGTCTGTCTCTCAGACTGGGGTCATTGTGTCTCCTCTTATTCAAACTGACCCCCGCCCCATCTAGCCCTTCCAAGCCAGCCCAAGTCATGTATCTCCCCAGCCAACAGTCAACAGCCCACACACCAGGCACCTGTACCAAGTATCCACAGGCTCCACTGACCCAGGATAGTGCCAAGTCCCTGCATGGCCCAGAATACACCTTCTTGGCTAACCAGGCACCAAACCCCACACAGCAGGTTCCTAACTCTCTGCTGACGTGCGGCCCCAGTAGAAGCCAAAAGTGCTCCGAGACACCAAGAGGTAGCTATTGGTGCAGGTCAGAGACCGAGCACTTGCCCAGCACACTCGAGGCCCTGGGTTCCATCTCTAGTACATCAAAGAACAGAAAGGGCTGTGGGCGATGACCCACACCTGCCACCCTCGTACTTGTGCGGCTGAGACAGACGGATTGCCACAAGGTTGAGGGCCACTCAGCTACAGGGTGAGGCTCCATTGCAAAAACAAAAGAACAAAGTAGACTGGTCGGCAGCTTGGCAAGGTCTGCTTCTCCATCCGCTAACCAGGATGGGTCTCACAGCGGGGCAGGGCCAGGGAGGAAGGGGAGGGAGGGTGGGATGCAGTGGATCCCATAGGGAACACCATGGATCCCATCCCACCCAGAGGCAGGGGTGACATCCGCATCCCCACTCTGGTCATTTTGTATTCACAAAAGCTGGGCTGAAATGTGAACCAGCCGGGGCAGCAGCTGATCCAGAAATCAGCCCATTCGGCCACAAAGGCTGCTTCACTGGTCTGAGGGCAGGGGTGGGTGCCCTCCTTAGGAGTCTGGGAGCCTTGAGGGCAGGCTGTGAGGATATTCCTCCTGCACTCAGCCTGCCAGGGCCTCCAGCCTGATCTGTGGCCACCCTCATCCCCAAAGGGCAGGTGGCCTGCTGCCGAGGAGCCCTCCATCCACGGAGGGTCAGTGGGACACTTCAGGAGGCTGAGAGGGCAGAGGTGGATGGCTGTCTCTGCCAGCGCACACACAGCACTGAGGATTCAAATTGAGCCTTGTGGGCTTCAGCCAAAGGTGATTTTGCCAACCATTCTGGGAAAATGGCTGCATCTCCGTCACCCAGAGTAAAGAAGACACCAGCGCACTGTCATAGCATGGGGACTGTGCCAGGCAAACCTCTCAGTGGCCAGGAGGATGGAGTGGGTGTTGCCCACACATCCCGAAGCTGGAAATCGCCTGCTGTGCTCGGAAAAGAAACCCAACACCCCCAGGCCCAACCTGACCACCGAGGGGATTTGTAGGGGGTGTAACTAGGTGATATCTGCCACCAGAGATAAATGTCCCAGTGTGTCAGGGAATGAAGGCAGTCCAGGAAGCTGGGGCAACTTGATTAAGCAGGCAGCATAACACATGTTCTTAGAACCTTCTTCCTTTACAGTGGATCATGGACCTCTACCCACCAGCAATGGTGGTGACATGACAGTTCACTGTTTGAATGTCCCACAATCTCCGAAGTCCGAGGGCCCCTCTGCAGTTTCTGTTTTGTTATTTTTGATGCTGACGGTTGAATCTAAGGCCTCGACCCTGTGTTAAACCCTCAGCACTTGTTGCTTTTTAAAATAGCTAATATTCATAAACAATGCCTAACTTTGTCCCACAGACACACTCCTAGAATGAAGCTCTTTGATCACAAGGAAGATTTTTTAAATATTTTATTACTTTTATATGTATGAGTGTTTTGCCCACGTGTGTGTAAGTGTACCCATGTTGTGCAGTGCCCAAGGATGTGAGAAGAGGGTGTCGTATTCCCTTGGAACTGGAGTTAAGGATGGTTGTTAGCTACAATGTGGGTGCTGGGAACCAAACCTGGGTCCTCTGCAAGAGCAGCCAGTGCTCTTAACTACTGAGCCATATCTCCAGCCCCAAGAAAGGTTTCCTTATTAGAGGTGTTTGGTGAGTTATCTCAGAAAAGATCTTGAGAAAGACAAGGTCCCCATATCATCTCCAACCATTTTAAGTACTGTTTTAAAGTCTTTCTTATCCAGTTCTGGAGTCGTGGCTCCTAGAATTAGCTACAGATTGAACTGTGTTCACCCAATTGCTAGGTGAAGATAACCTCTCACCCTGGAACGGAACTGCGTGGACCTACTCTTCAAACAGACGGCTGAGTTAGAAAAGAGGAGGTAGAAAGCAGTGAGGAGGAAATCCCTGGTCACATCCAGGAAGCCCCACATAAGGAGTCCCAGAAAGCAGGGAAGAAACACGATCAAGGCTATGTATGATAGTCTCCTGGAATATGAAGGGCCTGGGTGTCCAGACTGAGGTCCACGGCACAATGCACAACGGCAGGGAGACACAGCAGCAGAAAATTCCAGGCTCTAAACACTTCTGGAAAAAACACAAAAGC